GGTTATATCAAGGTCAAGCTGATTTAGAATAATGGTTATTTAAAGTACAAATTAATATTCAGTCGTTCAACTCTGAAATGGTATGACTTTCCCAAATTACTTATTACTTAGCTTTTCTTCCTAAATCACATTTAATTAAGTATGGAATTTCTGTAATTGTTGAAAAACCTTAAAAAAATTCAAACAAAGTTTACAACAGCTCTTAGTTTGCTTAAATATATTTTGATAATGACCATGCAGTGTTTTGAATAACTATGCAGTTATAACTGTTATTAGGTAATATGAGTAGTTAAAGGAGTGGAGTTAGCACAGAGTTTCCCTAGTTAACATGATATTTCAGATTATGATTTTTATATTTAGTTGGTAATGATTTGTATAACAAAGATGAAGCAATATCTCTCAACGGATGCTATGGATTAACAAAAGTTGGAGAACTGTTGAAAATTAGAAAATTTTGAACAGCTGTTAAGACCTATTTTGAAAAGTCATTCAACCAAGTAATAACTGTGAGTTCAACAATTATAAGTTTTGAAGACGAACTCTGGAAGCTTTAGTAGAAGTTCGTGACAGATGAAGTCTAACCATGACAAATGTAAATCAATAGGCACTGAGAGAATTTGATGATTATCGCGATATGTTAAGAATAGTTTGAACTCGAAAATGATGACTGGCAAATTACAATTCAGAGGTTAAAGTAAATTGTGTTTACATTGAAACTCGATTTATTTTGTGTTTGGTGCTATAAGAGAATTTTGAGTGCGCATTACTAGTAATCATAAAATTTGAACGAAACAACTGCCCAAACAAATCGCTAAATTCTTCATCTTTACGGAATTACTTTTATTAACCTATGAAACAAATGATGCCAATTATATCCTTTTGTTTTGCCGTGCTTCTTCAGTTAAAATTAAGGATTTTTTTCCGAACCTAATAACATATGGAGTATATTTTCTTACAGATTGCTGATGTAAGCATATCTCATTAGTGTTATTTGGTTTCATGTTTCAAAAGTTGGTGACCGGTAGGTAATATTAATAAGCCATTAGTACACACTACTGATATTTTATCTTTTGAACTATAATTTAGAACGAAATAAGAAAGTGCAGCTTGGAAGCATGAAATAGGCTTTGATAATTTTGTCCAAAACGACAATAAAAGTTTAAAAATCAAACCATCTAACTCAGAGAACTCAACAATACCAAATGTCTGAATGCTAAAACAATTCTTAACTGAATAAATGAATGACTAACCTTTTAATTTATTTACAATAAGCTTACTTAAGAATTAAGCCAACCAGTAAAGTTTCTTAAGACTTTTTATAGATACCAAATTGTCCAACGAATGGGAATTATGCAGATTCTGTAATGCGAAATTCTTGGACGGATTAAGCTACACTAATTCCATAATAATGAAAACGTTTTGTTATTATTTGAGATAAGGATTAAAGACGAATTCTCTAATCCTTTTTATTTGATTCCGACTTTCGTGATATTAAATAAAGATCATTACTTTGGTTCACAGTATACTTCTCTCTCTCTCTCTCTCTCTCTCTCTTATATATATATATATATATATATATATATATATATATATATAATTTATTGGAGATGTCCAAAGCCAAATCTTACAAATCCGGGATTAACATTTAAGACAAGTAAGTTTTTGACCATGCTCTTAGTAATGTTTACGCAGAAATCAATATAAACTATGAATGTCTTAGCTTGAATGGAGAATACAATAGAATTAAGATTTATAAATTGGAGAGTGTTTAAAATATATTTTTTATTTCATAGTGAGAAAGATATAATCATATAGAACTTAACGATGAAATTACTCTACATTATTTCTTTGGCAAATAAAAAAGAAATCTCCTGCAAATCAACAACTATCCTGGTCAGTTACCTGGTTCGACTTGAAATACTTAGAGTCGAATAACATTTTTATTATTTGAAAAACCTTAAGTGGAACAACATACATTAGGTGGATTAACATCTCCACAAATCTTTCAATTCCAAATTAAACCATGTTTTGTTGGATCAATAGAGGAAATAAACTGGGAGTCATTTAGAAACTTGGAATTGTATTTTATCTTTTCATCAATGCAATCAAAAGAAGTAAAAATAAACACAATTCCGGTTAATGGATTATTGACCTTAATTATCGATTTTTATCTAAACTACTTCCTTCAATGTTTTTATTGTATATTTCCAATGAGATAATATCGCATGCGACAAAAAAAACACTTTAAAGCTTTTTACCAACAAATATTACATAGCTCAATTGCTTACCAGAGTAACATAATCTATAAATTAAAAGGCTAGTTCCAATACTTAGTCTGAAACAAAGATCATAGGTATATTTGTTATGGTTATATCCAGTTTTCAGTAAACATTATGTCGTTTAAATTTATGTAGTTTTTTGAACCATTCATAAACTGTAAATTAAAATTTAAGATGATTAATGTACAGTAAGTTATTGTTTTCATTTATCAGTAATAATCCCCTTGAGATTTAAAGCTTGTGAATGAATCATTCTGATAGGTAGAGTTAAATGAGTAATGTTACACTTTTAGACCGACATCTATAGTTTGTTTATTTGTTTTAATTCGTATGTGATCGTTTTACAATGTTGAAGTTCGATACTTTTGTTTTAAAATGATAAAACTATATCATATGTCTAACTTAAGGAGTTCAGATTTTTTTTGTCTAAAATAGTTAAAAACATTATGACGATGTGTTTGAGCATTAATTAGGTGTAATTTTGTGGAGATAGGCAAGATAAAATTATTTTGTAAATAGGTTTTGATATTATTTGCATTTATTTTGTTAATTTTTACAGTCTGTACATTTACTACAAAATGATTGTACATGTTGTTTAAATGTATGACCTTGAACACACATTCTTCCGTTGTGTAACACTTTGAATGACACACGTTGTTAACCACTCGTAAATACACTACTATACACACGTCTCTTGTTCTTCGTTGCTTGTGGCTACAATAACTGAACTCTGAAACATCTATCATCTACATTTATAAACTGCGGCTACATTTCCATTATATTCTATGCTTGGCTATATTTCTAGAACTACAACAACCTCACTGGAATTATCTGTAATTGTGGATTCTGGTACCAAACGCAATCGAACACGCACAAATCTGCTGATATAAGTAACGTCCCTTAACTTGTATTTATAACTTATAATTTGCAAACTATAATATTAACATCTGGACGTAATAACTTTATTGCTATTTTTGAGTTAATACGTTTTTGGTCCACCACAATTTTTAGAATGAATTTACCTATACACATGGTATTGTTTACTTGAATTTTCCCATTGATGTTCAGGATTCCATTTAATCCGTCTCTTATTGACATATGTGCATACTGTGCGTATTGCCTCGATATTGCCGTAATTCACAAGCATTATAAGCAAAGATGGTTAGTGGCTAGCAGTGGAATCCAGAACGCGAGTTCCGTCCTATTCGGGACTCGTCAGCTTATAGTGCTTGTGAATTAAGGCAATATCGAGGCAATACGCATAGTATGCACATATGCGAATAAGAGAAGGATCAAGTGCAGTCCCAGACATCAATAGGAAGACTCAAGTAAACAATACCAAGTGAATTTCAACTTCACCCCATTAAACAAGCAAGTGTATATCAGGAATCAGTAGCTGAATGGATAACGTGATGGCATCTGAAGTGAACGGTACTGGGTTCCAGTCTCAGAGTGAACATCAACTCTAAGATGCAGATAAATCCAACTGGCGAATACCAAATAGAACGAAACGCGTATCTCCGATATCACTGCTAGACACTATCTATCTTTGCTTATAATTTACTTATACTTATTAAAATCTCACACGTATTCACATAGTACTTTAATAAATGATTGACATTGAGATTAATTCAAATCACTTCATTAGGTGTTGATAAAAATCTATAGTTGGAACAGTCTCAGCGACTGAAATTTATATAATTCCATCGTTTTGTCCAGCAAATTTGTCTGGTTTTATTAAAGGATATCTTTGATAATTTTGATTCTGATTATTACTCTGATGAAGTCCAGACCAGTTTACTGGACGAAACGTTGGGATTATTTAAATATTTCGGTAAAAATAGGAATACGTTGACAAGTTATTGAAGAAAAAAGATACTAGCGTTTATGAGCACATATCGGGTTTAAAAAAAACTGGAAATTAGAGATGATCTATTTGTTAGCCATGATATCGATTTACGGTTGTTCGTATGAAAAAAAAATTGGAAAGGATTAATTTACTAAATTTGTTACAGAAACATTCTGCGATACAATTTTCTTTATAAGCTTGTAAACGGAAGATAACGAAAAATTTTCCTTATTGATCAACTTCTGTTGGGAAAGCTTCAAGAAAACAGAGTTCAATAAAATGTATTTTTTCTCAGTTTTTGACTTCTCAGCAGTCCTCTTAATGATCTTTACAGAGACGAAATAGCGGCTCAGTACACTATAGTTTATAATTGATTTTCAGTTGATCCCAATCGATGACAATAAGTTATCCCAAAGTTTAATTAACGTCCGCAGCTAACAAACTAAGTTGTTTTACTTAAATCATGAACTGGTGAAAGTTAGATAACCATCAAAACACCCGGAAGCACTGGAAGGTCGTTTCTTCAGAGTATATGACTCTTCAGAAGTGAACAGTCCTGACCCCGTACTTTGAAATCCAACCCAGAACCTTCGATCAACTTTCAAATCACTTCAGTGGCCCTGGAATATCTGACTCCAATTCGATCATGTGATTGTCGTTATCGTCTTAAACATGTCGCCGATCTTTGCATATAATTATTGACTTAACTCGCGTTAGCGAATAAGGGAATTAAAGAAGTTAAATATAAGCTTAGCAAATGAAAACTTTGCAAAATATTCTTTTTCTATGCATAAACAGTTGTGACATAAAACTTAGATATTATGTTATTCAATTCAAAGTTAACTTCAAAACTTTCACTCAGTTTTAATTTATCTAACTAGACTTCTATTCCATTGTTTGTTATCTTTATTTTAAAATCAAAGAACCAATTTATGAACACAATGTACTAAACCAGCACAGATATAGTGGTGGTCAATGAATATTATGAGAAATAAGCCCAGATTTGAAGACATGAATCTAGAATACATAAATAATTTGTTCATTCATTCATTCTTTTTTTTTAAATATTTAGCATAAAAGCTTACAATGTACTGTACATAACAAAAATAAATAACATAAGATCCTTATTTAAATAAATATTCATTCTTTTTGTGAAGAGAAAAATGTAGACTGGTTATATAAGCGTAGTTACAGAAAAAATAACATTGATTTATGTTGGGATTGAGACATTGAATGAAGGTATGGTATACATGTATTTGTGTCTATATTATGTAGTATGATCTTATTCATGTTTATAAATAAAAGCTACTAATGATATAAATACTTATAATTTGGTACAAAATAATAACAACCTTTCAACACGGTAACCTATTTTTATGATGAGAAGATAAACAACAACACCGAAAAAATATATATATCTATACAAAAAAGAAAGTAAGAACCATCTTTAAAAATATAAAAAAACAAATAATAAATAAATGGAAATGGGAATACATCATATCTAAGATCACTTATTGCATATACAAGTATAGTGTACTTTTTCTTAAGTTACTTTATTATTATTATTATGGCTCTGAATGTGTTATAATTGAGTGATTAGTTGGAGAGTTCGAATTATTTGCGGCTAGAAACCGATGAGCTGTCTCTTCATATACTTCATTTTCATTACCACGATAAACTCCAACTTCATAGGCAACTACAGTTGCATGATCTAATTTACCAGGCATACGTCTAAGCATATCATTAAACCATTTTCTTTGTGAATCAGTTGAATAAGTATTATCAAAGTGTTTATTATTATTATTATTATTATTATTATTATTATTATTGTTTTGTACTACATTTTGATTTTGTCTTAAATGTGCATAATCCGGATTCTCTAACCATTCACGTCGTTTTGTTGTAATTCTGTATGCATGATTAATTAGTGCTTCGCATAAGTCTTTGGAACTAAAAGTGCCTTTTTTACTACTAGCATTCTCTGCACTAATATCTAATTCATGCCACACACGTTCTAATTCTTTCGCTGCATATTTTCTACGTTCATACCAGTTTAATTCAAGTTGATTGGTGAAGTTAATTTGATGTGCATAAATTGTCTCAGTTTCATTGTTATCATTAGTATTATTGTTATTATTATTACTGTTAGTAGTATTTATATTTGTAACGGGTGTATAAGTTAATTTTGTTGGATCATTTGGTGGGGGTGGGGGTTGTGGCCAAATATTTACTCGAGGTGGTGGGTTAAAGGAGAATTATGTAGCAACGATTTGGATGGGCGACATAATGGTGAAGTTGGCGATTTATTAAAATTACACCTTAAAGAATCTGAAGATAAAGATGAAGTACTTTTGACAGAATTTTTGTTGTTATTGTTTACTTCATGAATACCTATATCATCAATGGATGAGCTTTCCTCCTCACCACCTTCTTGTCCTTCGTGTTCATCATCTTCATCAACAAAATCTAAATGCGGTGATTCAGGAACAGCTAGTTGTGTAATAACTGGATCGAAATTATCGATTAGTCCATCTGATCCAAGCAGAACTATATCACCTGGATCACAAAGTGTTACTGAAATAAAATCAAGCAATAAAAAGATATTTTTAGAGTGCTAATAAACATTTGACAAATTACTATTTTTTAGATTGGAATATCATATTACTTTCAGTTATGTCTTTCTCGAAAACTTAATTTATACAGTTAAAGAACTAGCTACCACTGTGTATAAAAGGTGAACTTTAATCCCACTAGAAAAATATAATTGCATGAAATATGTATTTATGAAAATAAGTCACATTTTCGTTTCGAATCATGTTATTCTTCGCAACCTTAAGCAGTTTGCATCTGATGATAAACCTTGAAATAGAATGACCAATTCAATTTACCCTTCAAACCTTGTTTCACTTTACTTTCATTCTACTTCAAATTTCTCAAAGGATGAAGTATATTTTCATAGTACTGAATAGAGTTTAACAAAAATGGATACGATAAGGATAAGTAAAACCAACCACTAAGTAAAAATCAAGAGTATGACAATTATAATTTATTCCAGAAATGACAAAATTTTATAAAATCCCTAATTTTTATTCAGAAAAGATACCTGTATTTTCCCAAAAAGAAATCTCACTATGTTTTCAGACAACTGAACTGGTTTAGTGCCTAATCTGAATAAAATTCAATAATATTCGCATATCCCCAACGATAATTTTAGTGCTGTGAGATAGAGAAATCAAAAGTTTTTAATACTACATATTTTATTTGGAATTATAACAGGAAATCAATCATTGGTTAGAAACACTTCATATATTCTACGGTATATTAGAAATGAATGAAAAAAAAAACACGATCTAACTACTTAATGAATAGTAATGATTAAAATATTTATTAACAGTAAACGCTAAAGAAATATGTTAGATGGTTGTTTTCTTGATACACCGCGTATAACTTGAGCGTATAACTAGAACGCCAGAACCCTTCCAAGTCGCAATGAGAAGACAGAAGACTAGCAAAAGGAACATTGTTCCAGACAGTGTCGATTATGGTACAAAATTGTCAGGTATTTATAGTTTTTAGTGAGAACGAAATCATCATTACAGTCATCCAATCCGCATACAGGAACATTCTAGAATATTCTTCCAAGAGGTGATTGGATGGAATATCTTCGGCTCCTTCTGAGCCTCTTACAGGTTCCTCGGGTTCACCCGTGGTCCGTCCTCACAAAATATCCAGTCATTTATTTCAACCAATTTGTAAATGAGTTCTTCTGTGTTCATTTTCAGTGAGTAATTTTTACATGGTGGATTAAGCATTACATTCGGATAAAATAATCTTATTGTAACTATATGGGAACTGGTATTGAGTAATGATTATTAAATATCTTAATGCTAAGTGGTTAAAGCCTAATACATTGATGACCTTGAGTAACTTATCAGCCAATCAAAAAACTCCTACAAGTTATAAAAATATAACAAAATAAAGTAATGAAATAACAGCTTTGATTGTGGTAACTGACCCTTACAAGTCAAATTATCCCTTGTAATAAAGGAAAAAAGGGTAAGTTAAGTTTACAAAATAGGGTTAGCGTTTTCGACACGAACTGACATCAGTTGTAAAGCAATACCTTGCCACCTTCCTCTATTGTTATTGTTATTGTGCTGATCAAGCCTATTGTACATCATATATTCAGATAAACGAAATAATTAGAACAAATGGAAGTAACTGTTGTTGTTCACATAATAAGCAATAGATTAAATGAAGTGAATGTTATTAAGGACTTCAGATTCACTTATTAACCGTTATTTAACGTACAACAGGTTACTATATTCCAATTCTCCTATTAGTATTGTTTGGATTCACCCGTACCTGTAGAACTTCAGCTGTTAATCTCTCTTTGTATGAAATAAAACGTTTTTGTAGGATTCTTGTGTCATTATAACCGATCGTATGGCCAGACTCTATTGAATATACAATGTCATCGCTGAATTGTTATTTACATTTTCTTCACATCAAATGTATTATACGCACTACAAGATATCTCGCTTTCAACATTGTTTACAGATTGCCAGGCGAAACGTCGGATCGACTTACAGTTCAATCAATGAGATTCCTACAAATTTAATTTTCCTCTAAAAATTCCAAGAGTCATGTAATTTACAGCACCTTAATTTCCAATTGATTAACAGAGAATCCCAGTGGAATAAGATTAGATTAGTCGATGTAAATTATAGATTAGAACTATGCCACGTAAACAAAGCCTATTAATATTAGCTTGCAAGAAGTAATAAATTGAAAGTAGGCCTAATGCAAATAATCCATGAGATGAATAAATCACCTTTGAATTATCGATTAAAAGAGCACAACACACCGCATATACATACATATACATGGACGGTACACATGTGTTTCACTGGCCATAATAAAACTACATTTTCTCCGTCAATCAACGACTAAGCCTATAGCAATTTTTTTTTAAAGTAAAGAACATAGACAGTGAAAAGAAATAATGAATAAGTCACTATAAGTATTGTGTGTGCTGTCTATATGTATATGATGACACTGAACGCTATAGTTACAAACAACAAATAACATTTATTAAGTTGAGAAAAAAAAAGTCTTCATTCATCATAAACGTCGAATTGATTAGTAAAAACCTTTGAAGTAAGTTTTTATTTACTTAATTGTCTATACAAGTAAAAGGAGAGGAAAATTTATAAGTGTGTGAACTAGAATAGTTAATAGTTGAAAAAAAGGAAGAAAAATTTTGAATTATCTTACATTAAGAGAAGCTTAGAATTATGTTAATTAGTAGAAAGAGAGAAATTCAGTTTATAAAAAAAAGTCAAATAATTCGTCGAAAATTTGAAATTGAAATCGAATTCAGTGGATTGAAAGTAGACTTTAGCAGGTAAGCAAATGGTAAAATTTTTCAGTATCAGTCACCTGTTAGTTCACATATAAAATTATAACCAGTAATAAATAAAGTATTTAAAAAACAAGATCAAAAGGTGGTTGTAAGCCTGTAACTATTAGTAGTTCCGGGATAAAAAAAAACTTGTCTGTAATAGATGAGGTTATACATTATATCTATGTCGATGTGGGAAGCAGAGGTTTATCAAACTTTCTTTCTGTGTACATAGATCAGGTCAAAAGAGCTTGATGACAATGGTCTCTCCAAAGAGGACTAAATGGGAAATTCGTTACTAATTAATTTGAATGTCTTTATGATATCCATCTTATCTCCACTATCTATTGAATGTTCAATGATAGAACTTATGAACACTCTTATTCCCTTGATAAATTGGTTTCAAGGAAAATATTGAAAAAAATGTTATTTCGGTCTTTTCTATGTGCTTAGTAATAAAACTGCGTTAAAGTCCACAGCTGTTAATGGAGATCATCACAAAAGGGTACTGATTCAGTTTTTATCCAATTAAATAGCATTCCATGTTATAGACCACAGATAACAGAGAAGCTTTTTCTTTTGCGAAATTATCTTCACTTTTTTCCACATAAATTTAATTGTGATTTGACTTAGAAAATGATGTGTTCTTCACACATATTTGTAATTATGAATTATTTAGTTAACAAGTGAGATGTAGGCCAATTTTAACATAAAACTTTATTTCTTGAATTATATGATACAGGCAAGAATTTAAATTTCAATAATTTTCATCGCGTCAACTGTAGAGAGATAAAGTGGATTTTAGAAAGAGATCCCTTAGTTACAATCAAAATAATCTTATCTGTCAGTATTATGTAGTAAAATTACGAATTAATCAATTATACCCAATCGAAGATCTTGAACTAATGTATATTCGACGAAAGTTGCCAAACTTCAGATTGGAAGCACAATAGAAGCTCGTTAAGATAAAAGCCAAGTAGGTTGAATTAATAAGAGTACAGATAATAGCAAAATAGCAATTATGAAGATTATAGTCCGGAAGAAATTAATGAAATTGAAAAAAAATAAATGCAGGACAATAATATAACTCAAAAATTCGAGAAAGATAGGGAGTGAATACGTCTGTTACTTAAGATCACTAATCTTGGGTTGTAATTATAGCAAGAATTTGAATCGTCTATTCCGTTCCTACAGATACGACTTTGTGAACTAACTTCAAATCTTAGTTTTTTCCACTCTAAGTCTTCTTCAACCTACTCCAGTGATAATCAACACTAAACGTCAGGATAAGAGATTGGTGGACATAGGGAACATACATCCTAACCACTTCGAATAATAAAGATTAATAGTCTTATCAACCGAACTGTCATTTCCACCGTTTTACTTTTGCTGAAAGATACAAACGTACACATACAGAGGAGTCATTTCAAGCCCAGAAGTCACTTTCCCTTAGAATTTTAAAAGCTAATTTATATTCCTCAGTGATTAAATAATCGATTGCACACGGATCAATGAACACGAAAACAAATGAGTAATAGAATGCTTATTTTCCAATTACTGCTTATTACACCAACTAACTTGTAGTTAAACAAACAAAACAATAAAATTTTTCATCACAAATAGTGTATTCCTAAGTTCAGTAATTTATTTAAAGACTAATCTTAATAGGCAATCATAAGTTACGCAGAATACAATAAAAATGTAAGTTTGTGACTACCCACTGATACCGATGATGAATAATAAAATGACGTGCTTATATTTAATTAGTCATAAAGAAAAACTATGTACAGCATTTAATGCTTTGTTTAATTTTATTGAATAATCGTTCAACTTTTGAAGGAGATGGAAATAATAAAAAAACATTGAATATGATAATATTTAAGAAAAAGACAATAAAGTAGACCTGAAGCAAAAAATGGACGATTCAAAACCGAATAAAATAAATGAAATCCTAGATAACATTCTAAAGAACAAATGTAATTTGAATTTAAATCAAAGTAAAGATCCAGTCTTCCTTAGTACGGAAACATTCGCTGAATTTATTCAAAAAAAACAAGAGTACCCCCTTTGGACTTCCGTGATGGTCAGTATCAACTCTTAAAATTCAGTTGCCTAAATAAGCTGTGTGATTCACCTATGACTGAAGGGATGTCACGTTGTCATATCTTTAGACTGCTTATTACTATAAGTTTATTTTAGTACTAATAACAAATACATAATTAAAGACATGAATATCAAGCCTTCTGATCGAATTTAAGTCACTATTTAATGACGTGACTATGATGTTTAATTGGTAAGTGGACCCAAAATTTATGAATTTGTTAATTTTTCTAAAGGATTCTGAAATGTACAAAATAATCCACAAGTCAACCTGCTAGAAACTTGAGAACTATTTTTTTCTTGCATTAAACTTGGAATACTGTCGATTTCGCTATCAGTTTACTTAATGCCTTAAATTATAGTGAAAGTATTTATAGGCTTGTTGTTTCATATGTACTTATTCAGCTGAAAACTTAAAGTGGTTGTCGCGCGAAAAAACTAAACAATGGATAATGAAATTGACGGAATTTAAATGAACTTAAATAAAACATTTTGGACTTGCAAAATATAAACATATTTATTTATCCGTTAAATCATCTGATGAGTTTGTAAACTCTTATCAAACGGAGTAATTAAAATATATATCTCGTATGTCATGTCAATTATCATAGATATAGGCTGAAATGAACCTAAAGCCAATCAGATCAAGATATCTTATTGATCAGATTCAGTTGCAATAATTTAGATGTATTCATCTTTCATCTACCTTAAATTCTTGTGGACAGAATTATTCTGTCCTTTTTATAACTAAATTTCATCTATTTATTATTGTTTTATCTTCAACTGTGACAAAATATGAAACTTGGTAAATTAAACTGTTACACAGTTGTAGCTAATTCTATATCGTTTACGTTTGTAGGTTTATTATTATATGAGGCTTTTGACATAATTTATGATAAGATTTTGATATTAAAATATTATAAAAACACAATAACTAATGGGTACTTACCAGCACATATAAGATTGTTTAATTCTGGATTGCCATTTTTATACACAGCACCCAATGCACCACCAGTATCTCGAAAATCCCGTACAGGTGGTCCAAGTATTTTCTCCAATTTATTTTGCTCATTTGATTGTGTTGATAAATTATCAGATGACAAGACAGAGGTTCTTACCCAACCGGTTATTTCACGTATACCATGGAATTTACTTAAAAGAAATGCTTGACAATCACCAACGCTTGCTATTATAACAGAAAATTGAGCTTTGCCATATGCTGAAGTTTGTTCATTTGTTAATCCATGTGATTCATATGTTGTAGTAGTTAGTACCGGTAAAATTAGTGCAACGCAAAGAGTGGTAAGACCAGTGGTAACGGAAACAATTTCCTCTTGGGCAAAAGAAAAAGCCTCAAATAATAATTGGGCCGCATCCTGTAATGCAATCACAATAAGAAGAGTGAACACATAGCAGTGAAGGTGAACTAGATACTATTTATAAGTAAGGACTTGAATAATTCCCATGCTGTCTAGATCTAAATTCCAATCAGTCTTTGTAGGCATACGTAGATCCTGTGTGTATTTCTATGATATAACTATTTAATAATATATTTCAGAGAAAATATGGATTGTGACTAGCATTAAGATCCAGTGAGCCTGTTTCGTCTTAGTTAGGACTGGTCAACTTGATAAACTTGCACTCTAGTGTTGATGGTCACATCGAGGCTCAAACACAGCATCGTTCACGTTAAAGGTGAATTCTATTGAAAATTTAACCAGTTTACAATATCCCTCTGCAATATGTAAATGAAATAAGTATTTAACCGGTTTCTTAAAAAAAGTGATTTATCTCCTTGAAAACTAAAAAGTTAACCAGAAACTTTCACCGTAATGTTACTGGACAACTATAACCCCTTTACTTCTTGTGAAATCTTCAGGTTCTTGTCTTAAAATTAATAATCGTCAATCTGTAGACATTATCTAGTCTTAAAGAAAGGTAACACAAAGCATACAGCAATCCATTGTTGAGTCACATACGAACTTGATTTTCTCAACGGTTACAGAAACACTATGATAGTGAGCTTTAAAAGAAACATGAAATTTAAGTTGTGAAGTATTTATATGCTGGTTTAGTAACAGAAACTTAGAACGCTATGTTTTGTGCTTCATTTTCAACCTATATTTTATCACCACTGTTACGGAATATGACCTGTCATCACTTAAATAAGACAGCACATAAAAATCTCTTCAGCTGTTCAAATTGTAAACTGTTTCCCAGTATTACTGAATGTTTCTGGAAGAATAAAGTGATCTGGCTTTCCGTGAAATGTATTTTATTTAGTTACATTTCTTTCGTTAAACGGATTTCTCAAGGTGTATATTATCGACAAAAAGTAGAGTTTATACTTTAACTTGAGACTACATATGTCAATATCATCAAAAGATTTATATAAACTTGAACGTGTAAATAATAAATCTAAATAAATATTCTGTACTCATAATACTGGAACTGTTATACACATTGATTTTAAATAAATAATACAAGTTCTTACTCTTGTGTCTTTTACGTTGTGTTTCTCTTTCATACAACCAAATAAATGCGATTCTAAATAAGTGTAAATAGCTGAAATTGCCGATCTAGCAGCTTTCATTGATTCGTTGCCCCAATTTACACCATCTGCCACAGCTAAATAGGCAGAATCATGTCGAGCTCGTACAACGAATGCATCAGCAATGGGACCACCTAGAAATTAAATAAAACATAAAACATATTTATTAACAAATAGTTTTGAAGTTTGACAAGTTTAAATACTATGGTGAGTGAGATGGCAGTGAACAAAAAATATTCTTTCTCTTACGAATATAGTCGGCAAAAATCACCTTTTGAAGTTCAGTGATACGGATAAGATGGAAAGAGCTAATATCGTTAAGAAAAATGAACAAACAGGAATTTTGTTTGAATTCTTTTCTCCGTGTTAGGTGGTTTGCTGGCAAAGCTTTCATCGTTATTGTAAACAGTATCAGTGCTTACAATTTATGGAAGTCTTCTACAAATCTTTTCCATACATAATGTTTTGTAGTCAATAGGCTGATATAATATTGATGACTTATCTGGTGTCAGTCAGTATAAGTAAACAAGGATGAAGCGACCAACCAAAAATAATAAATTAAAAACTTGAAGTTTTAGAACTGAAACGATTTAGAAGAATGGAGTTAAAATATCTTCCAATAATTACCGGCTGGTTAGCCTGTTATTTGAAATAGTGTTTGTAGTAAACAGCGTTTTTTATGGCAGCTAATTAGTGTTCCTTAGAAGTTAAACTTTGCAAGGAATATGGGTACCATTGTAAAGTTAGGGGTTAATTCTAATAACTACACTTTTTCTTTATACATCTAAGCAGTTTTCTGTCACGTTAATAAGTATCTTAAATTAATCTTAATTCACTAATTAATTTCAGTGACGAGTTGTTAGCTTATACATTTGAATTGTGGTGGGTTAGTGATTAAAGCATTCAAAATTCAGCCACTAAGTCCCAGGTTAGAACCCCGTTTCATCTACTTCGGCTTAGGTAACTGAGTAGTATCATTACCACTAACACTTAAAGTATGAATCATACACTTGAGCAATTCATGAATCAGTTTATTTAAATTTTAAACATGATATTTACTGTAAAATTAATTATTCCATTTACCATTGGTTTGACAAATTAATAGTCGTGGTGTAAACAGTTTTTTCTTTTAATTGATCATAAATATTTAGTCTTTTAAGCCTAAAACATATTCTCAGAATGGGGTTTTGTGGAGATTGTAGTAATTCCATGGTTGAATCCACACAACCCCCAATTCCGATAATCATCATGCTCACTAGTAACTGGCTTCAAGAGGTATTTCCTGGAGTTCTAGTGAGAAGCCGTGACCAGTGGAGTTCAACCGCGTCTGTTACGAGGCAGTTACTTACTGAAGACAATGGCGGACGGTTGCGCGATATCGTGGATTTGTTGAGGTTAGGCATTAGTATAATAGAATGCCGGCCAGCTCAGTGGTCTAGAGGTTAAGCGTTCGCGCGCGAGACTGAAGCTCTTGGGTTCGGGCCCGGCGTACGGGATCGTGGATACATACTGCTGAGGAGTCCCACACTAGAACGAAACGGCCGTCCAGTGCTTTCAGGTTTTCAATGATGGTCTAGCTTAAATCGGCTCATGAATTCAACTATTAAATTATTTAAAATATATGTCAGACTTGATTTAACCACTTAGTAGCTTGATGAGAAATCCATTTCAACAATGAACATTTAATGCTACTGAGTTGTATTTCAGTAGGTGTTATTTGAATTAATCAGTTGTTTAATCTTTAAATTCATAATCAAATCAAAAAATTATGTGAAAATAATACCAACGTGTGTTATTTATCTTTTTAATATGATAGAATTTTTACTTAGATACGATTTTTATAAAATTACTTTGTATCACACTACATACTCGTTTAAGATGTGATAAATATGGTTAGAAGAATAGTTTAGAACAAAACAAGATCTATGTATGCATGTTTTGCTATGAAGTGTAACTAAGCAATTAAATTTGCACACTAAATAAGACGAAACTAGCCTATCTCTAGAAGATAGTAAATATTTACTGAAATGGTGACATGCTGATAAACAAGTATAAGAGAATAAACAAAAATAAATTTGGCACCAAAAATATAAGTAGTCAACAATGCAGGTGTACTAAATAAAAATCAAACTTCATACAACACGTTGGTGTTTGTTTAATAATATGAAAATACAAGAAAATAGAGAAGAATTAGTTAAGCGTATTAAAAATGATTGCATCCTTTGATTTTAAATGCTATCTATACATTACCACTTCCTCAACCGCTGAATTGTATGTTAATAATCAAATAAACCCGCCAATAGCCAACATAAATGAAACAAAAGGCTTTACAGACAAAATATACAAGAGTTTTAAGTTACTCAGGTACTGAATTGAATAAAATCCAACTTTTCAATAAGAATCTGACACTCGTTTCCAAGTTTTATTTTATGTTGAACTGAAGCCAATTAGCAGTATGATATTCTCTGATGAATCTTGTTTGTCAAATTGTTGCGAGTAATTTAAATAGGCTTTTAATTGAGTTTCAGAAGGAAAGGACTAAACATAGCTAATCTTAATGCACGAAGAATACCAAGAGATGTAAGTTTAAAAACACAAATCTATGTTGGCTAACAGTGAAATCCAGGGCGTGTGTTTCGTCTTATGTGGGACTCATCAGCTGAATGTGCCTGCGTCCCAGAGTTCATGTTCAAAAATTAATTAAGAACAAACAGAAGTCTCCTGGATCTTTATTCAAATATAGCTGGACTATCAGTCAATTAAATACAAATTATGATAAAAAAAGCATTGATTAATCATTACCAAAAAAATCACAAGTAGTAAAGTAAATAAGTTAAGAAGAATGACCATTTTTAACACACACATATAATGTATAACGGAAAACCTAGTTGACCTGAAGTATTTATTTATAATAAACTAACAAACTGATAAGCAAACCCCCGTTGTGTGTTTTAAGATGATCTGACCTTAGTATTAATAATAGTAAACACGAGAAAGTTTTTGAGATACACCAATACTAAGTATTCCTTCTCAGTACTCAATAAAAAATAGAATAACCATAATAATTATGATTCAGTGGCATTGTGGGTATGAAATGTCTTCATCTTATTCTAATTGTCATAATGAAATATTAGATTGAGCAGTAGAATAATAAACTTTTCAATGACGTTCTCTAAACGGTGAGACATATGACGACTTGAAATCTCCCCTCTATCTGCTTCTAGTTTCTATTTCAAGACTCTCCTTATCTGCGGTTAACGTTAGTTTTAGTTATTGTTCTTACTAAAAATGCATTTTGTGAGGTTGCTTGGTCTTCGGGTCACCTTTTTCTTTGTTATTCCCTTTTCAAGATCTCCCCACTGACGCTACTCTCAATGTTCCCTTAGTACATAAAATATCTTCTAGCTAGACACAACCTGCTACAGATATCATATTATTATCTAGGAATGATAGTTTCCTCATAACCATACGACTATGGCGTTAGTAATAACAATACTCATGACTAAATAAAGCTTTTTAATATAAACAGAAGTTCAACTCTTAGCTGGTGTCATAGTCAGTTGATTTGTTCCTGGTGTGAACTTTTACGATTGATTGGAAGTCTCTAGTTGATAAAGTAATTAATCTGCACAGAAGTAATGATGAAGCATTAATTCATTGCGCAGAAATAATTTATAGATTTCGCAATCCATTTAAATTCCAAAAGTGGGCTAATATCTCAACGTTGCAAAAATAAAACATGATTTAAAATATTTAACAGTAGACTGATGATTTGACTACTATAGCAACAGCTAAAGTATTCTATATCCTCAACCTATGATTTCACAACACTATACAGTCATATTAAGGTACCAAAATACTTGATCGTCTGGAGCCTCTCTACAGTTACTTCCGATCTAAGTCTGAACAGAGAAAGGGTTGGGGATGAGTAAGCGACCTCACCTTGTAAAAAAGAACCTCGATAACAAGACGCTAACCCAAAAAAATGAACTAGGGTACTTGTAAACGGTTTTGTGGAAATCGGCTTCGATTTTCATAAATTACATGACCCCCTGGAAGCAAATGTTAATGAGTTATCAGACAAGAAATGGTAGGGATAAGACTAAGAATCTTTACGATGCCTTAGTCAAAAATATTTTACGTACCATTTGGTTTTCCAGTAAATATATTTTTCTCGTATAGAGAAACAGATATTCCATGTGCTTTTCGATTCTCTATTGTCTTCCAGTAGTTGGAATGGTCTGTAGAAAGTCAAAAATGATATACATATGGTACCAAAATTGTCCTTTGGTCTTTAAGTAACATACAAGAAATAAATATAAGTTGGTATAGTAGACTGGTGTTTAAAAAATTTTTAACTGTCGGAAATCGCTTGAAATACATCTACATTTAATTATAAGGCTGTTCTTTACAGTATCAAAAGTACCGACAATTTACGTACCCGTTAAAATCAGCCGTCTAAGTTTCACGCAAGCTGAAACTTATTTATATGAATATACTTTACTGTAACGGTCCAGTGAAGCTGATTTCGAATTCCTATATACCAAGTGTCACACTCAAAATTACTGATCTATCTTTCCAAATGTTGTTTCTTGAAGTTACATAGATACTGTACACAGTTACGTTCATTAGTTTCAACTATTTGATCATGGGATACAAAGGTTAATCTACAAATAACTTTACATCCAGTCTCATTCTAGTAGTCCCCCACCTAGTTGTTTGAACCTCAGTACAAGAAGAAGTCTGTTGCTGAAGTACTTTATATATGACGAAAGTAAAAATGAAACTGGATAAGCGATTAAGTTTAACTTGTTACAATCGGCATATTTTAATACCTCAAGATCAAACATTTTTAATGCACAACTTGTTGAACAAATCTAATGAAAAATAGTTAGTTATTAAGATTTATATGTCTCCCACAATACTCAAATCCGTTTGAGTTTCAGGATTGACTGAAGAATCGTTCTGTGCAACACAAAAATTCAAAAGTACTCGCGTATAAATTATGTCGCTTTGATCCCATTTTGCCAAGTGACTGCAGATAGCGTCAGAGCACGATGTGAATACTAATTTTTCATTTTAGGTTTTCATCACAGTTATGTATATGCTAAAACTTATCGGATAAACATATAACTTGTTCAAATGGCTCGCAAGATAAAACCTGATGAACTTAATCACAAACTGATTAATCAGATATTTAAAGGTAGACCTAGGAAAAATGTGAAATGACTAGAAATGCTCCTCTTTTATCCTACTATATCTGTTTTACAATTTATGTGAACAGATTAAAATTTTCGGTCTAACTAGTTTTCTACTACAGCTTATAGCAATTTTTCTCTGGATTATATCACTGGAATCAAGGCATTGAGTTGAAGTTTTGCTCTAAAGTAATTTTCATCCTTTATTCATTTTGGCGTCTTGTAGCGAGCACAAAACTGATACTAGATCTATAACGAACGTTTGTATAATCAAATCTAAGAGTGCATGTATCATACTGGAAAACACTTTAATATTGTACAAATGTTTTAAGCAACTATGAGATACGACGACTACAAACACTTACAGACATTGTGGCTGTCCTTTGACCCATGCCACTTTTTCACCGCTAACAAGCCCTTATTGGGGCCTGTAGAGGAAGCAAAGACTTTATTAGACAAACTATAAACAGGTATTGTAGGATAAACAGCTGCATTAGGTAACTCTTGAGGGCAAAGAGATCGCCAAACATCACATTTTGAAGCTGGATGATGAAACTGATCTTCTAACTGATACAGCTTTGGGGCAATATACTGCCATTCATGAGTATCCGAAATCGACCCTCGACCACGTCTCAAACCAAAAAAACTATCCCGTAAACTCCATGATTTGGTTATTTTGGGTCTATGTAATCCACAGAAAATTGACCAATGGATTTAGAGGACCTAAAGAGAGTTTTGAATAAATGATTAGAACAACTCATAGATCATATTTAATTGACAATATGAAATTCATCCTCGCTAACTTCTCACTTACTCAAATACAGAAAGTCAACTGCCTTATAGATTTCGTATCAGAATGAGAATATTTTGCTTGATGTCTAGGCTTCAAGCTAAATATTGGAGAAAGTAGGTTTCGCTAAAAGATTGTGTGACGACTTTATGCGGAATTCAAGTATTTACCAATGAATATTAGCTGATGGTAAATTGATGCTAAATTCCAACTGAATGCGCTGATATTTGAGACAAAAACTATTTATCTGTTTCGATGACAAAACAGTTATCAGATCACGATACGTTCTGTCTGAAACTCAAACATTTATTTTTGACCACATTCAGGCACAAAGATGAATCACTAAAATATAGTGGCTGTTAAAAAATGATATGATCTACACCGATCAGCGATCAAGAATTATGAGTTAACTCCTACTAATTTTTAGTGAAATCGAAACTTCGGATTAAAGACATGAAATACCAATAAAGTTCGATCAAGCACATTTTGCTTTGTCCGAAACAGTTTGAGTTTATAGGTATCGATGCCAAAGTTGTACTTGATACTTTCAGATAAATTGAGCATTGGATAGAAAGTAAATAATAAATACATTTTTTATCAAAGTGACATTTCGTGACTTAATGTAAGCCACTTCTCAGAGCAAAGTGTTTTACGCTGTCACAAAGCGTCAGAAATACTATTTTTCTACTCATTGGAACGTAACAAAAAATATATGAATTAGTTTAACGGTTTTAATAAAAAATGGATTTAAATACTGACAATGTTGACAAGCAAACAGCTAAGCTCTGTGAAATTAGTATTTTACTTTTTAAAGCTGATTATTTTGTTTGTCTAGATAGGCTTTCTGATGCAAGTCTTATATAATAGGTTGTAAATGAAGAGAAATATTTACATTTCACACAACACCGTAAAGGTTCCTTAACTTCTCGAAGGAAGGAAGTGATAACTTTGGATAGACATGAAGTAAAAATGTATTTGATACCGGCGTAAAAATATGCAAGTGAGTATATTTGTTCCAGTATAGTTATTGTAAAGCTTTGGCTCAAAATTTCAAACCTGCAGCCACTGAAGCCCTATTAACCCAATCTACCAACTTGTAGCTCCTGAATGATCAAACACAGTTTGTGACCGCAGTGGTGTGATTCATCTTTAGGCTTGAACATTCCAATACTAAACTCCACATACCACAAACGTTTGTGGCTATTTACGTTTATCATATAACCCAGTCAGCTTAGTTAACATACGTTTACAACAGTATTGATTACTTGACATTTCGCCACATAATCATTATGCTATCCAATCAACGCTTCAAAATTAAGTTGAATAGATCACATTGTAAACATCTATAAATTAACCAAACTGCTTGTATTGAGCCCGAACCCCTAAAAATGTTACTACTTAGGAAAGTGACGACGCAATACAATTCACAAGTGTGACAAAAAGACCTTTGTTAATATTAGTGTACTTAGAATACGCAACTACCATTGAAACAGATTAATGGAACACACAAATTTTTGACTATGGATTTAGTTTATAAAGGCAAAAAGGTAAAAAATCTAAGTGGAAAAAGAGCAAGGACTCGAATACATACAGGAAAGATATACATAAACATAAATACAGCAAAACCGATTCGCTGAAGTACAAAGATGTATAACAGAAGCGGATAAAGAGTGGTAGGAAACAGTTTATTTCGGATTCTACATAATAACTCATTGGAATTTGTAGTTTGGGATCTAGATTGGTAATCATAAAACAAACCACGAAGTAATTCATTGAACTCATTGTTGCCATGTACAGACGCAAAACAGGCCGGTTGATAAAAATGTATTCCAATTGTAGTGATACACAATAAATGTCTCAAAAACAACGAAAACTAAATGAGAAGGTGAATTGCGCGTCGAATGAAGTTACGTTATCACATCAAAGTGATGTGCCGCGACAACCCTCACGAAAGGTTTGAATTAAAAGCGGTGCAACTAAAATGTCAAAGGGTGTTTCAGGAAAATTATCGAAATATTATAAACACATTCATCACCTGTGACATCTTGAAGGTTTCTATGTTTGGAGTTTCAATGACCTAGGATTAATCAATCACTTGCTGGAAATGGCTTTTACATCAGAATCGGTGACTGCGTACCAACGCATATGCTTATTGCATGTTAGTCCCGATAATAGTCTTTCTGGTTTCCGAGATGCTACTGAACTATCCCTCACGAAGTTTTGTAGTGTAGAACAAACAGAGGAATAATTGTCTTCACCCACCGCTCCTAGAAATAATGAACTTTGAAGCTATCAATAACAGTGGTTTGTGTTCAGATTAAAAAACAGAATTATGTTTCCGTTGACATATCAACAACTGGGACCTAAGTGTCAGTCACATAAAAATAAATGCTCTGTTCTGATTGAGTTCATTAATTTAGACTGGAAATAACCTTTTTTTGTTTTATTAAGGACACCATATGTGTATATCACCTCATAACTTCCGTACTAGTCTAAAATCAAGTGGAAACTAGTCTCTAGTCTAAATAATGGTATTTGTTAACAAACTGAACCCCTTCCCAACAGCATATTCCATGTTTATGTCTTCGTAACTTAGTTATCAAACATTTAACATAAAACGACTTACTCCTTATATCTAGTGGACAACATTATCAAGTAACAGTAGTTTACAAATTCATTGTGTCGTTTCAGCACAAGGACACAAGTGGTGATTTTTTAGCGTGGAAAAACAATTGAGCTCGAAATTTTCGGATTTAAGGAAGAAAGGTAGATCGACTCCCACTTGAGCAGGTTTGAATCTAGCCAGAAGGTGCATTTTGTGCTGGAAGAGCATGGAGAGTAGCGTCAGTGTGGAGATCTAGAAAACGGAATAACGAAAAATTAGGTGACCCGACGCCCCAGTAACCTTACAAAATGCATTATTAATAAGGAAAGCAATTGATAATAACTAAAAAATAACATAAACTTGAGATAAGGATAATGCTTTGGTCGAAAGTAGATAATAAATCAACCAGCTACACCGTAAGTCTCGAAATTTGTAGCACTGATGAGACTTGATTTCATTATGAGCGATTTAATACAATGTATCAACAAGTTTGGTTTGACTGATCATTTCTGTATTTTAACGTTCTGTGCGGTAAACAACTGTTCAAGTACAGATCACGTTTTTTTCGTTTTTGAGATCTCTTGGAATATCTCCTAGGCAAATCAATCACCGTCCACTCAACAGTAAAACAGTATTACATTAAATCCTAGTTAATTGAAGCATTGCCGATTTCGGTTGAAGCATCTCAGTTCATCTTCATGACCTATCACAACCTCAGCGCCTCGTCGATGACGCCTTTCAAGCCGCTCCGCATAAGTTGTGTACTGTATTCTAGATATTTTTCAGTTGGAGGAACAGATAACTCCCTTATAGGGATTTCAAATCACTGTTTGCCATGATTCCTAAATCATTACAAACTTTAGCCTGTGGCAAAGACGTTCTATTTACTACTGTGTCACAGGAGCCATATTCATGCCCGTTCGCTTTGGTACAATCGTGCCAGAAGTCTGATTCTGATGGCCATCGAGTTGTCGTCTCAACCGAGACACTCAAATCTTTCTATTAGCTTATTTCGTCAGTAAAACTATGCATAGGTCTACTCAAGTAATACTTACGTCCCGACATTAATACTGTTTCACGTTCAAACTGACCGTGTGATCTATACTGAACACGTTGAGTGGCTGGAAGGCTTTTTCGTTAGGCGTCATATACCAATATTGTTCGTCTCAACAACATAATTTTCAGACTGTTCTAGTTCAGTTGTATCATCAAGTATTAGAACAGACTATTTTGTAGCTCTTTGAAGGTCATTTTAGTGAGACGAAAAAGAAACAGGTTAACGATTATCCGTTTGCGATATCCGCTCATGATAATTATGCATAATGACGAGTACAACTTAATCAAAAACAACTTCTAATTCTGATTAAGCAGCATCTACTTCTCGAACGTTTATCACCAGTTATATTGACTGAACCAAATAATATTATTATCTGTTCATCTCGTGGTTTTAATGTCTCATAGGGGAATCGAACAGCATTTCCATTTATTCCGCAATTATGTCCATCTGGTATTCCATAAATCGTAAGACGATGTGCTTTCATTGAAAAGAGAATTCGTCAATAATACGCCAAAATATAAAGTACGCTGACCTCTCGCCGTCGTTAGCTGAAACATTTCATTTTAATGCTTCGGTACGATTTCAGTTTGTTCAATTGTCGTCAAAGCTTGAAATGTAGATTTAGTAATGACATTGGTACTGGTTTGCAGAATTGTGGTCTACATGGGTATCATTATACTTATCTATTCTACTAAGATAATTCACCAGGCACCAAAACAGTGTTTTTACTATCGTGTGACTGCCCAATTATGTGGAAGCCACATTATTGTCTATACTGACCCATCCCATTGTGAAAACTTGTGGTTGCACCTGAAGAACACATCTGGGCTGTGGATGCAACGATATATTTGATATGCGGGGGAATAAGTGACAGAATGACCACGCCTTCATGAATGGACTATGAAATACCAAACATGTGTTTCCGCATTTAGCATTTTCGACGTTCTTTAGGTGTTAAATTTTAAATTTTGAGGATTATTGACTTGATTTAGTGTAACTGGCTAATTCAAATGATTTTACGACGAAACCACGTCACTGACCAGAATGATCCGTCATATCGTGACGATCAGCTGTATAACATTTAAGAATTTGGAAGAACAAACTCCGGTCTCTTAATGGTGACATATTTAATATAAACAGTTATTACGCCTACATAGCCCAACTATTTAGTCTCCATGGAGTTCTCGGGTTCACCTTAATTATTTTTCGTCAGTACCCAATGGACACCACGAGTTCTCTGATGGTAATTTCAGTTTCAAGAATGGCCTGAGATGATAGTCGAGGTTTATTTCATCGTCACTATCAAATATAATAAATGAGTGGCTGTATCCCATCACTCTAAACACGGAGTAAAAGCCTTCAAATATGCTCTGAGAGGCCTAGACCTAGACAATATAGGGACGAAAAATATTCCTACTATCATATGTAAACACACACAAGAGGAGTCCGATGGTTTACTATGCCACGAGTAATCGGAGTTTCACAATGCCTTCACACGTAACACCTTTTTAATTGAAGTGGCCTAATTCAGTCGAATCAGAAGTCATAAATGAGGTGGTTGGAAGATATTTTGTTTAATTACGGCTCCTTATGGTTTAGTGGGATGTCACGGACTTAAGGTATTGAAGCTGATTTATCACGCAAAATACCTCTTTAAATCGTGTTACGAACGTTAAATTGGTTTCACTTCCTACTCAGAAATCCTATTACAAGCAAACTAGACAATTCGCTAATATACGAAGCCTACTCAAGACCCTATAAAACCTTAAAAAAACGAAAGGGGCTCTAATAGCTTCGATAATAAAAGGAAGATAGCCAGTTGTATATCACAATACTGTTTCTAGCACTATATTTTATTTTATAATCACACATAATCTTATACTCTCAGCTCTTTTCCGAGTCGCCTCCATTTGTCAGTTGTATGTCCACTCACACCTTGCTAAAGCTTATTTTCTTTAACCTATTAAAATGCTCTTTCTTAACAAATACTTTAATAAAAGAAAATTAGACTGAGTAATCATACCTTAAACATTCCTACATGAATATTGGCTACTCTGCCTCTCGTGTTTTCTTTTACTTCCTCCCTCTTTCAGCTCCCTTGAGATATGGAACAGGTTACATCATCCTGCACCATCCTTAAAGCCTTGGATATCCCAAAGGGACATAAGGTTGCGATTTCTAGAAGCTCATACCTTCAATGGACCTATTCTTGATCGTCAGTCGCACATTCGCAACGCAACTCTCGTGAAGCGCGCCAACTGTAGTACTGATTAAAACAATCTACATTCATGTCTTATAAATTTTCAACCCAGCTATGTAATTTAATACAGTGTATATTGTATCATTTGTATCAATTTGATCTTGCCTGTAAACTGGCATGCCTCATGTAACAAACTGTTATTTGAGAATAAATTATTATTATTATTATTATATATTTGAAAGGCTCCTGATATATTGGGAAGTTTTGAAGATAAGCTAGTCTACAGTTGCAAGGGATGTGCATCAAGGTGTAATTACCCGCGATCTGGTGCTGATGACTGACAGAACACTTTCAGCTAGGAGAGTTCAATAAAATTGTTTAGATCTGCATCAATATCAAAGACCCACAGAACTACTTATTTTGAGGATTCATTTCTCGCTACAGTTTCATGAACATGCTGCCATAAAGAATATGTATTGGCACTGAGCCCTAACGACACAATCCTCAAAGCTGGACACCAGACAACTGGGAAAAGAGATATTTAACATATAACGTGGAGAAAAACCCAACGATGGAGAAGGCGTGAACAGGGAGTTGAATTCATTTGAATTGATCGGATGGCTTGCCTCGTCCTTGCAGGCGTGGCTATCCTTGAATGTTGTTATATACCTTTTACTCATATGAAATATATTGTTCTATCCCTAGCCAAAGCTTGTTCTCAACCCTGTATTGGTGATTGTTACGACTCGATCAGTTGGTGTAGACGATAATATGACTTCCACGTAAGATCCTATAGATTAGGCTGTGACTTCGTTACAAATCTACAATCATGTGATTAGGTCTATTATTAGAGCAGTACTAGTATCATAGTAGACCATAATTCTACAACTATTCCAAGACAGGGATGTGGGACTAGGAACAGTCGAAGTTAGACGGTCGAGTTAGCTGACAATCTGTTAGTAAAATAAAGTTATTATAGTTAGCATATCCGTTTATTGTAGTATTTCCTGAAGTCACTTCATCCACTATTTTCTTAAATGTAATGATGAAATATTGGTGTTTAGGTAACTGTTTGCTGAGTCTCACTTGCTCATTATGACACTTAACTGATGTCTGTACAACAAGCATAACATTGAATGAAGAGGAGGACTGATCTTTTTAATTGATATACGTCCCATTTCAGTCACGTTAACAATCTGTAAGGAAGCACATTGGAGACGAAACCATTCAAGATGAAGCATCACTTCGACATAAAGTGGACAAAAGACCCATATTGTCTAGATGGCTTAATACAACTGTCATCGAACCAATGATTCATGATACGCAGTCTCCAGTGAAGGTTAACAGAAAGCTCATTTTTATAAGTAGACAAGACTGGTACCTTATGAACAGAAAGAAGGCAAGACCACAGTCGAGAACTTACTATAAGCCACAAAAGAATATCAAAATGGTGCCGAAATACACTGAATTTTATGCCACTTGCTGTCACCATCATGCTTCACAATATAGGGATAGACCAGCACATAATTAGGAGGGTGTATAAATCGCCGAAAGCCTCTGAGATAACAGAGCTTCATTTGTTGGAAAATTGTACTGTTCAACAACATGAGAATTCACTGATCAATTTGGCAGTAGTACGACTGACAAAAGCAGACTGGAAGTGCTGATAAACGCCGTTAGTTAACACACCACATACCGTTAATTTTGCAACCTTAACACTTTCTTCATGTTAATATTATGTTTATTCACAAATAATTTATGCTTACATGAGAGTTTTGATTAAACCA